GGTTTACGTGTTTAAAGAAGAAAGACGAATTTATGAAAGGTATCGCGAATCGGTTGAATATTTGCTGAATGCAAATTAGCAAAAAAATCGATCGGGACGCCTGGCGTCGGTTGCGAGTACCTTCTACGTATATATAGGTAATATATAATCTTAATGCCAATCTTCGCACTGCGCTACCGTCTTACGTACGGTATATGCCTTTGCGAAAACACAATGAAAAATGTTCGCGGATCGGTTGTTTTATCGAGTCGATTAATTATGGGAACGTCCAGGCATTTATAAGGCTGCTGTTTTGCCGCTTTAATGGTTATAGATAGCTTGCGGGCCTTCGGCATCCACCGATGGAATGCGCGTCGGCGAGTTACCGACGCCTCGCTGTGAAGAGATACGAATTAAGAGACCCGCAGTCAATGAACGTGTTTCGCTATTTTCTTTATTCCCGGACATCGTCGTTTTCCTATGTCGCCAATGTTAATTTTTTATCATTAAAAAAAAAATCATCGTAGAAATTCAACAAAATTTTATACTCACTCGTCCAGATTCGTTCTGCTCGAATCATCGATAAAAAAATTTTTATTATTATTATATTATTTTCATCTTCGTTCTCGTGGTCCGGGAAGATTAATATTTTCTTAATGTCCACGTATTTGACGAAACGTGGAAACGGGTTTCTTAACGATTAAGAATCTTCCAAGTCAAGGACTGGGAATCACGAAGATATGAGTCTCATTGATGATGATTCAGATGATGATGCGAATTTTTAATAGTCAGGACGTATCTACGTTCGGCAGCGTTTTCAATGGGCGTTTACAATTCTTTTTTACTTGGCAGATACGCATAGTCCAAGTTCAGCGCTCTGGTAGATGGAAACCTTGACATATATTTTTCCATAGTATTTACGTGTTAACGAAACCTGTTTTCGGAATGGATGTTTTGCATTTACAGTTTAGAACAGCAATACGATCGGTGGTCAAGTTCGCTCTATTGGATTCGGACTTTTCTTATAATTGACTTTTTTCTAGAATTTTCTTATGATTGACTTTTTTACGTATAAGACATAATATGGCTCAACGAAACAGTGTACCTCTTGACACTTTATGATTAGTAAAAACTGAAACGTTCTTTTCGGGGGTTTTAATGGGATTCCAGGACAGCAGTTTCCCTTAATGGTTTTACCAGGATCGGACAGTCGTTATTACCCGAGTATATCCTGTAAACGAGCCAAAAATGAGAACTTTTATAAAAATAGCGACAACTTTTATGTCGCCATTTCGAAACAGTTTTTTGGCCGCGTTAAGGCCCACGTGGACGTGACTTTTTGCACTATGACATTTATGATACCTATTTCGCGATATTGCTTATACCCGACGCTGCCAATTCACCAGTTTTTAAGCACCTGATATTTCGTATGAAAAATTTTTAAAATATATAAAAATATTTTATTACGATTTATTCGATGCACGCTATGAGTAATCGGTAATCAAGCTCGACCCAATTAACGTCATTCGACGATTACTCATAATTACGGGAAGTTCCACATCGTGACAATTGCGACAACTCATGGTTTCTATGAAAATAACGAAATCCTCTCACTTTTAGGCAGTTCGATGCAATACCGATTTGTGACTGGATAAATTGCGAAATTTACTTGTTTCCAAAAAAAAATTGAGAAATTTCACAATCTGGGTTCAGTATACATAAAATAATATTGATCGAGTAATTTATGTCAAAAATTAATAATCGATCTCTCATCGATATCATAATTTTGCATTTAAAGTAATTTGATCAAGCACCGAGACATTATCGTCTACATGAATTTTATCTTAAGTGTCACTCTACGTCGGATGGGTCTTAAAGACCCGTGCAGATACGCCGCGTCTTCGTGAAAATGAATTACACGACGTACCGATTCGTTTCGGTTGTTACTTTTTCTTAAATTTATGAGACGCCAAAGAGCAGCTGCACGGTCCGCGTATGCGAGTATACCTGCCACGTATACGAACTATATGGTACTAAAGATAAATGCATAAGTTACCGGCAGAAGACCTTGGCCAAGAAAATTCATCGAGTTTGCGAGTCGCCTGCGGGATCAAATCAGGAGCTGAGAAATCGATTGTGTTTTCGTATCGGATCGTATCGAGCTGCACTTGTAGCTCGTAGCAGCATTCTGCGTGTCCTAAAGCGTTGGACAAACCACATATGATTATCTGAATGGCTGATAGTCCTTTAATGGCGTTCCCTTTGATAATCCAAGATAATCCAGTTGTTACGAGCTGTCAGCTGGAAATGAAGTTATACACAGTTTCCAAGCAGTTAGTGTCACGGGATAACAGTCACATCAAATTATTTATTGCATCCTGCAATTCTTCGTATATGCATTGCAATGAATTATTAACGATACGTGCACACGTGCATAGACTGAGTGACGTTACTGTATACGATTATATCGGTAAATGTTTGAAATTCTTATTGCTTACTGTGAGTAGATTCTTGCGTCAATCGTGTGTGAATACATAGTCTTTTGCAAATATCATTATGTATATATATATATATATATATATTTTTGTAGATATCAATTAATAGATATAGTATATGATTTCGATGTAAAAATTTAGTTCAGCATATTCGGAGACGCTACATTAATTTTCATCGATATATCGATCACTGATATTTTGGCTGTGAAATAATTTACTAGCAGGATCCATATACGTTATTTTTGCAAATTTAATGACTACCTCAAATGTATAATTATAGAGTTTGGCAAGAGTCAAGGGGTAATGATGTTGATCCAGGCATGTTGTTGATCCTCACGAAATATTACCGATCTGCTGAGTAGTATGTAAGCAGTTGGTAGTATAGTTCCTGAGGTATAGTGATATTTCACTTTTATAGGCACCTGTTTTTTCTCTCATGACGAAGTATCACGAATTATGAATACATTGTGTTTTTTGTATGGGATTTAATTATAGTGTTTTTTTTTTCTATTCAGGAATGCAGCATATTGGGTTATTACTGTTTTCACTAGTATCGAGTATTTGTTTTTTCGAAATTTCATTGTTTTCGTGTTCGCCGTCTTGCAGGAGAGTTTTCGTTTTTTACTTAGAGGGAATTATTGAAAAATTTTTTTAGAATTTTGATTTCGAAAATTATAATCATTGCGAGTGTTTCGTTACCGTTCAGATTGTATGACATATCTACGTGTGTATATTTATTGTATAGTTAGGTGAGCTGGGGTATTTGAATTACTTGACATCATTAACTAGCAAGATGGGTCGTGCGATAACTGTTTGCTATAAATAGACTTGTTATGCCATTTCGAGAATCACTATTCTTCAATTAAACCAATTGATACTGGGGAACCACGTATTCATCGTCTTTATTAACGCACGATAGTCGTATTGCAATCTTACTCGAACGTGATTGATAACTTTTGATCGATTGAAATTACCATTGCGAAAGACGCTCTAGATTTGATTTTCAGAGTGGTTCGATGGATCGCCGATAGTAGCCAAGCGATATGTAGTAATAACGATGTAAGAGCAAACGAAAAAGGAAACGTTAAAATTCAAATTATTTCAAATTACGTGTTACGTTGGATATAAGTGATGATTAGACACCGGATGTACCGATCACTAAGGAACTCTTGTGGATTTTCCTAAGGATAATAAAAACTCTTACACTCTGAATAAATTTGGAAAAACAATATTTCTCTTTTATTTGATGATCTTCGAAAATCCCTAAGATACAGTAGGCATCATAGCGGTACGAGTATTCCTAATCGATTCGAAGAATCGAACTAATCGATAATGGTAAAGACGATATTTTCCGGATATAAAGAATTAGGAAGTGCGTCATCTTCGTAGCGGATATTAGCTCATACAAAATTGTCAATAAAGAAAAATAGCCGAGGAACTACAGTCCGGATTAGAAAAAGTGAAAAAATCGACAATTTATTGAAAAATGTATGTATCTGGTATATTAGGAGTGAGCAGCATCCCAATTTTTCTTTTAAACATAAAGTATCTAATAGATAAGGACCAAGTGGGTATCCAGTCCAGGTGCCCCAGGTGTCTTGACCTTTGACCATCCGTGAGACAATGCCCTGGATGGGAACAATGCACGCAGATGCATATGTCTAGGTCGACGGTGACCTCCTGGCGGACAGGCTCCGTCGGGAATTCCTGGGACCATTACCGGTCGGCGAATGCACTGCACCCGGGAGATACGGGATGCAAGGAACACGAGAGTCGAGGATAAGCATCCGAGAAATGCAAAGAAACGTTAAATTCAGTATTGTCGTGTGTATCGAGGGAGACGCGAAACCGGTGTGCAAAGTCGCAAAAAGTTTTCCATCGAAAAAGGACACAAGTCCTTGACGCATAACGCGTACGAGTATTCGAGTATAGGACAGGATCTGGTTGGCTGGAACGCAGTGCCGGAAATACCATGAATATCTTGAGCAATGGCAGCAATTACTACAATATTTGTCAGATGAAAAACACCGAAGATTTCAACGGCTACGATAAAGCCGGCAGCCGCAAGAAGAAGCAACGTCGAATCAAGGTCATCCGGAGTAACGATAAAGTCGAAATAAACCAAATTCCCGTTTCATAATAACGTAAGAATAACCTATCGAGAAAATACGACTCATAGACTACGTACGTCCCGCTCGTCGGCAAGGACGGTTATTCATCCCGATCCGTTGACCAACGGTTTTATTAAATCGTTCCGGATTGCCCCAGCAGTCATCGACGTCCTGCAAGGCGCAGCCGATGATCGCCGTGACTTTAGACAGTCTCTCACTCGCATAGTCACTTACCCGCATACGCTAGTCGCTTCGAGGGATCTCTTGCATCACATGGCACATCCTCCATCCTCTAATCGCTATTATGGAGAGCGTCTTGGTGGGGATCGAAGCTTAGATTAACCAAGTTCGTTCATCGCCATAGGATAAACCTCTGCGCCGGAGAAGGTGCTTCTAGTTCGTGAAAGACACTCTCGAGGATCGGCTCGATAACCTCCCGCATATTACTTGCGTCAAGCCGTAAAGTTTGAAAATTCACAACACCGTTTGCTCACTCTCGTTTCAACTGTCAGCTGCGAGCGTTCGCGGCGCCATCTACGTTTCAAACCGCAGCAACGCAGTCGGGCGTCTAGTAGTACCACTACAGGCCCTGCGAAAGATTCGTCAAGAGCGATTGTTTTGACTAGGCTTAAATCGGTGCAAACTCGGGGGAATGTTATTCCATGTTAGATTACAATGCATCGTAATCACTCGCGTGTTTCGTACGGTGTTCTGTGTTAGAGAGAGGGCAGAGCAAGCGGCGGATCAGCTGTGAACGGCGTGGCGCCGTGTGGCTCGACTGTGACCCGCTGTCAGTTGCCCGAGCCCTGTGCTACGGTTAGGACCGCACACATCACTCTAACGATCAGGACAGCTAGAAGATTGGAGTTTATCTGATATTAATTCTTGAAGCAAAGCAACCTGTGGGATAGTCGTTGGCTTATTAGAAAATCTTTAGCGGTTCTGTCTGTACGAGGAAATAAGAAAGAGAGGATATTAACTTATTGAAATCAATTAATTTTGTTTTCATCTCGCTAGACGGAATTCGATTGATTTTCAATAGAGACAAAGAACGTACGTCAACGTGGCATACAAGCGACGTTACGTCTTACAGTATTTATCCTCTGTCGTGTTGGTTCTGTGGTGGATTGTGATTTTGACTAAACAATAAGGGCGCATTGGCTGTCATTACTCATGCAACGCTGACGATCATGATGTACTGGTAGGAGGGCATCAGTTGGAGAGATGGCGAGCAGAGTATTATTCGAGAAGACCGCTACGTGCACGGTACTTGTCCTACTGGTGAGTAACAACAAGCTTTATTAATTGTCTGACAAATTGTACGCGTGCCAAAGCGACAAAAATTCGAGATTTCTTCCAATATCGTCGTACAGTCATTAGAGAAATATTTGTCAGCTCACATTTTTCTGTGTATAATTCTCAGTGGCTTATAACAATACATCAAATTCGTTATTGTATACAATTGTAATGAGGATGCATCTGTTATTGTCAAGACCTATATCTCTATAGGTATACATAGTACACAGGTTACGCGCATAGAATGACAATTATGCATAGCCCCAGTTCTGTGTAATCGCGTTATGTCGAGAACACTTTCTCGTAAAAGGAGCGCAGGGTACCTGTGACGGCAGCTACTGAACGGATTTATACATAGAAATATACACGGTAGACTTGCGTGTGTCACTAGAGTCAAGGATACCGTACGTACGTTATCTAGTCGACGTTCGCTGTGGCTAACTATATATTTCATGGCTATATGGGACATGCTGGAAGTACTAAACGTCACTTTCTTTATAAAAGCCTGGGGTGCTAATGTCGTTCCAGTGAAACATCAGTGTTTGTTCTTACAGAAATTTATAATATCCAACACGACCGTTCGATCATTGTACAATTTATTTGTTTACTAATTGACAATACTGACTTGAATAAATATTCGTATACAGCTGAAGAGAAATATTTAATTGTCACGGTGGCAAATAAAAGGGCGTCCGTGTTCATCGTACTGGTAGCAGTTAAAATAATGGTCTTCTCGATAGAGACATAAAACGGGTATGGTACACGATGAAGAGGTGACCTTGGGAACGGTCAGTTCCGCATGGTTCTAAAACGAGAAACGACAATCATTTCCAGGAGATCGGTTATCTTGTTATTATTGTACAGACATAAAAGACGAACGTGGACAGATTCACTGTGGAACGGATTTTTCTTATGGCGCTCGATTATAAAGATCGGCCGCCGCTGCTGGAACGGGAGTCGTATAAAAATCTTGAAGCAGTACATTAATTATCGATTAAACTACGGATAAATCACGTACAAGTGGACGTGGCTCGAACGGCTGCCGCACAGGCGAGACTGTCGATTAAATTGATATGCAGCAATGACAATGAGGTAGCTCCAATGATCTGTAACAGGCATCCAGGCATCCAGGCATCCAAGTAGCTCGCACACTTGGCGCATGCCTTCGCGTGTGCGATGCAGTCTGGGTAATTGTAATGTCGCCGATGGAACGTTGCCCACCGTGTGCGACGGGTGTATTCGGCACGCACGGAAGCCGACATTCATTGATCTACATATCAATCGATCTATCGATATACTCTGAGATCTAGACCTTGTTGAGAATCGTCGAATTTTACCTGTTTGAGGGGAAAAAAAAAATTTTAATTTATGAGAATTTTTTTTTTTTTTTTTTTTTTTTTTTTTAAAAAAAA